CAGTAGTCCAAGCGAGAAAGGACGAGGGCATGAGTGACTGTGCACAGAGCATCCCGATCCAGGAAGGGGCACAACTGACATACCAGTCTACCTGTGACTTCCAGCACTGTGGAAGTTTACATGGAGATGCCAGTGTCCCTATGTGGTGGTGGAGGAAACTCTGGCTCAAGGTCTGAAACACCAAGACCAGGAATCGTGGTTGCCAGGGCTGTGGCTCTAACTCTGTGTCTAAAGTTCTGATTTCCATATCTCAGCCCTTCTCCTTGTGCCTTTCACCCCCACCCATGATTGTCCCCTCTTGAGCTTCTCTTCTCCTGCTACAACAGATCTTGAAACCTATCAATTTTCCCATCCTTACTGTGGAAAACAGTCCTTATCCAATTTTGACCCAGCCATATAGTCAGCTCTCTTACCCTCTTTCCCCAAAAATAAGACTTCCCCAGATAATAAACCCAATCGGGCTTTTGAGCGCATGTGCTAAAATAAGCCCTCCCTGAAAATAAGCCCTCCCCAAAAATATTGCAACACAGCAGCAGCCATGAGGTGACCACGCTCGCCGCCTCCTGCACCTCAAAAATAATAAGACCTCCCTGAAAATAAGACCAAACGCTTATTTCGGGGGTCAAAAGAAAATAAGACCCTGTCTTATTTTTAGGGAAAGACGGTAGAAGCCAGATCTTGGTTGAGTCCTGCCACAGCTAAACTGAATCATTTCAATGCTTACCATTTAGTTGTCCAGAGTCTGCCATTCCACCTTGAATATCAGGCTTCTGTTCATGGCTACTTTCAGTGTTGCTTTCCATGGGATCCAAGCTTTTCTGGATACAAGCATTCTCCATTTTGTCCAGACTTTTAGGCAGGAACAAGAAAGGGATTCCGGAAATCAGAGCGAGGACCCCGGCAATTAAAAAGCCCATCCACCATGCACCAACCCAACGTGAATCAGTTGGACTGATAGTTATTGTATCTAGAATAAGGAATGGAGAAAGCTGAGTTCCATTATCTGGAACGTCGGTCTCACGGAGCTTTGTCAAGTCCGTGTGCGTTTCACAGAATCACAAACAACAAGGCAGGTCTTTGCTTTCATAAATGTACAGGGTGAATGTCAGCACGGAAGAGGCTTTTGAAAGTTTGAGGGGAAGGGGAGCAAAGGGAACAAGGCAAGGGTGTGTCCTCAAGGAACTGAATATGAAGAGCTTAGCATTTAGAAGACGTCATGAAAATGGGCTTCAGGCGTAAGCAATTGCAAGAGAGAATGAAACTTTTAGATGACAGAAAGTGGACAAATCTTTTGAGATAAGACAGGACAGGACGGGACGGGATAGCTTGCCTTCAGAAGTTGTGGTGGTGGCATCATTGGAGGCTTTCAAAAAGAGACTGGAGAACCATTTGTCTGAAATGGCATAGGGTCTCCTGCTTGAGCAGGAGGTTGGACTAGAAGACCTCCAAGGTCCCATTTCAAAGCACCTTTCCAAAGCAGGACAAGAAGCAATGGATGGAAACTAATCAAGGAGAGAAGCAACCTAGAACTAAGAAGGACTTTCCTGACAGAACAATTAATCAGTGGAACAGCTTGCCTCCAGAAGTTGTGAATGCTCCAATACTGAGAGTTTTTAAGAAGATAACCATTCGTCTGAAGTGTCGTAGGGTTTCCTGCCTAAGCAGGGGGTTGGCCTAGAAGACCTCCAAGGTCCCATTTCAAAGCACCTTTCCAAAGCAGGACAAGAAGCAATGGATGGAAACTAATCAAGGAGAGAAGCAACCTAGAACTAAGAAGGACTTTCCTGACAGAACAATTAATCAGTGGAACAGCTTGCCTCCAGAAGTTGTGAATGCTCCAATACTGAGAGTTTTTAAGAAGATAACCATTCGTCTGAAGTGTCGTAGGGTTTCCTGTCTAAGCAGGGGGTTGGACTAGAAGACCTCCATGGTCCCTTCCAACTGTGTTATTCTATTCCATTCTATTCTATTCTATTCTATTCTATTCTATTCTATTCCATCCCATCCCATCCCATCCCATCCCATCCTATCCTTCTATTCTATTCTAATTTTCTATTCTATTCCTTCCAACTCGATTATTATATGTTCTAGGAAAGTTAGACAGCGATTTGCCTGCTGCCTAATATCCCACTTCTACTGAGATTGAGTTCTCACCACTGCAAATTCAGGAGGTAAAATTCCACCTTTTAAGACTGATGGTCATTGGTAGCTGCTCATCTCTGTAAGTCACTTGCTTGAGAT